GAACCCAGGACATTAGCTTCACACACTCCTTCCTTAACCATCCATGATGGGCTGTTAATCGTGTATATAATTAAATAAATAAAACAAAAGGGAAACAAGGTGCTAGTGCTGAAGCAGCCATGACATGCATGCATTGTGGGGGGCATGGTTACTCAATGAGCCAATCATATGTGGAGAGAGGAATTCACCGTTTGATCCAGCCAATGGGATTATGAGGAATAGCCACACATGCTTGGATCGTCGCCTGTAAAAGTCAAGCCACCGGCCACAGTGGCTCTGGTCACCCTCTCCGGTGACACCCAAAAACGAAACCTGCAAAACACGCGAGATCAAAGCATAAAAAAGGACCTACCCCCTTAAAATTTCTCAAGAAATCCAATGGTGGTATCCATTTGCCCTAAAATTTCTTGTATACGGAGATACGAAGCTTGCAGCTCGTTATGCCCTAGCCATGGCAGATGGCTATTTAGCCATCAAAGCTCATCAACGATTGCATAGATTTGTTCCTTATCATCGTGTGATCATGTTAATGGGGTTATAACAAATTGAAATATGCTATAATTTAAAATACGATAGACAGAAAAATTATGAAAATATGAGTCATGTACAATGAGTTTTAGCGTGTTATGGCTATGGATGATGATCCATACTTACCCTAGCTTACCTCAGGAACACCAAAGAGTGGTTAGAATGCTTTGAAGCTGGCCGCAAATGTGAATACGAGGATGCAAGTTTATAGAGAATTTTTTATATTTGAAACCTTAGTGTAAAGGCTCTTGTTGCGTCCCCTCTAGGTCTGACTTCGTTGTATATATGTAGTGGGTAAGATTAGGCCAACATGTATGGAAAAAATCTAAAGAATCAAGGCGTGGCTTTAAGAGGAAATCAAATATTGAAAATTTTCCAAATATGGGTATTTTGTATCTATTCTTGGCTTGCACAATTTGCTTGCTATCATACAGTTGTATTCTCATTATTTAATGCAAAATCATCCCAACATAATTTTATATCATTTATTTGATTTAATTTGGATTTTAAATGATTAAAAATTAAAATAAATTAAATAAATAATAAAATGATGCATGAAGTGGTTCATGGGTTGTGGAGCATGTTAGTAACAAGATGCAAGCATAAAAAGATGGGCCCATTTGAAGAAAAATGCATTTTGGGCATGGTTGACTTTGTGCAAATTTCCAAAAAGGCCAACTTTGACAATGCACATCTCTCTCAATTTTGAGCCTAAGAGGGTGTTATTGGACTTTTTAGTAAGCTTAATATGTCCTCTAAACAACCCTTTTGGTTTCACCTCAATTGGATCTTCCATGTTCATGCAAGAAGCTTTGACCCAAAAGGTGTTTTTGTTGACTTTTTAAAATGACCTATAATGTCTGAATTCATATCTTTTCATGAGTGCATATTTTTAACTTGAGGGTTGAATATGAGTTGTAGGGAATTGCGTCCTCTTCAAAATTAGCCTTGGATGTGAAATTTCTGATAAAGTATGAGAAAGTTATGCCTGGTCAAAGTTTGGTTGACTTTTCCTATAGAAACCCTAATTTAGCAACTTTTCAGTTTTGATGAATTTGGGGCATTCCTTGAGGAATCATGATCAACACTTGATCAAATGATGTATGTTACTTCAAAATGTTGATATTGACCAAAAATCTTGAAGTTTGATTGTATGTGGCCCACAGTTGACTTTTGACCTAGCATAGTTGATTTTCAAGCATTTGAGCAGTTGACTGAGCAAACTTCTTGTGCAAGGCATGAAACTTGACATGGATTATCTTGAGAACATATTAAGACCATGGAAAAATATTTGAGACCTTTGGAGTTCACCCATCTTGATGAAAATGGAAACCCTGGTTTGAGGTTCATTGTCTTAGGAGAGCATTTGTCTGGTTAATTCTTGGGCATCCTTGAGAAAGTTGAGGACTTCAATGAGCATGTGTTGAGTAAAATGAGAGAGAAAATTTTGGGGTGCAACAGAGGGCAACCATTTCACACACTTGAGTTTTGAATTTTAGTTGCTACTATTCTCTGCTTCCCAAATTTAAATTGAATTTTGTCGTAATTCTTAACAAGATTCACAACAAAAGTCTTTTGACAACGATAACTATAATGATAAAATACAAAAATGTAGAGACAAGTGACTGACATTTGTTATCTTGTGGATCTTCCCCAACCGATACTCATAATATTTGGAACACTCTTCAAATGAGGAGAAAATGTAAACTGCTTGTAGTACGGTATATTAGAGACCATAACCTATATAGGCGATGACCAATTAGGATTCTTATTATTCCGTAATGGGTTATGACATCCACTCATACGCGAGTCCATATTCAATTAATTAATTAATTAATTATTAAATAAAAATTTAATTAGTTTTTTAAACTTTACTTAAACTAACATAATTAAAAAATACATATGTCTACATAATAATAATTATCTGAATATAATAATTAATAATTAAATAATATTTAATTATAAAATATTTTAATAATTATATTATTATCGTAATGTTGTATATGTTATATATTTTCGAGGGAGATAAAGCAAAAAGATGACAATATACAACCATACCAGGAATCTATTGAGACCACTAACTTTGACACAAAAGAAGATCCAAAGGAGATCAAGCTATGGACAACATTGGAGAAAAGCGTCAAAGAAAGGTTGATCAAGTTGTTACATGAGTATGTGGATATATTTGTCTGGTCTTATTGAGATATGCCAGGATTGAATACAAACATTGTGGTACACAGACTACCTCTAAAAGAAGGTTGCTCTCCAGTCAGGCAGAAGCCCAGAAGAACTTGTCCAGACATGTCCAACAAGATTCGAGAAGAGGTCCTTAAACAATTTGACGCATGGTTCTTAGCGGTGGTGGATTATCTACCTTGGATAGCTAATATTGTGCCAGTATCCAAGAAGGATGGCAAAGTACGCATGTGTGTAGATTATCGGTATTTAATCAAAGCAAGTTCCAAAGACGATTTTCCGTTACCTCACATTGATGTTTTGGTGGATAATACAGCTCAAGCTTCGGTATTCTCGTTCATACACGGTTTCTCGGGTTATAATCAAATCAAAATGACACCCGAAGATATGGAAAAGACTACTTTCATGACACCTTGGAGCACTTTCTATTATAAAGTAATATCATTCGATCTGAAGAATGTAGAAGAAATTTTTTACTCTATGTGTCTATGAGAAACTGCTATATATGTTTTAAATTTAAATTATAATAAAATAATATATTTATTTATTTTAAATTAAATGATAATAAACTACACAAAAATTCTGAAAACTTAGGCCATACCAATAATATAATTTTGTCTAATAATAAAATCATACTATTATCATAATTTTGCCCGAGTCACGGTTAATTTAAATATTCTTTTAGATCACGTTTTTAAGCATTAAAATAACTAGTCTCAACACTTAAAAGTTAAGCACCCTTAGTTTTATGAGCAATTAAAAAAAATATTTGAAAAAAAAAGCAATTAAAAAACTAATTGAGTTTTCAAATTGTCCCTCGTAACTTAAGGCTTAAAGATTAAAGATAAGACATGGTTCAACAGTCAAACTTTAATGTTGTAACCTCGATGAATTCAATGAAAATGATGAAATAATAGCTTCTAAAATTATGGGTTAAGCTAATATGTGCCTAAAATTGTAATTAGAAAAATTTAAGTATAATAAAATTATATTTAAAATTTCACCAATTCAAAAAAATATTTTTATAAATAATTTATTAATTTGTTCTCGTATATGTTAGCATTTTCTTACAATTATTAGTGCTATAACTTTTAATTATTTATTTTTATTATATTTTATAAAATCTCTCTCATAATAACTTGTTTCAATATAATAAAACTTATAAAAATAAGACAATTTAAATTAAATAAATGGTATTTTCTCTGTATTTTTCAAATAAATTTTTTATTTTTAATAATTTTTTGTTATATAAAAATAAAATAAAAAGAATATATATATATATATATATATATATATATATATATATATATATATATATATATATATATATATATATATATATATATATATATATATATATATATATATATATATATATATATATATATATATATATATATATATATATATATATATATATATATATATATATATATATATATATATATATCGTTTCTATGGCCATTCAATAGGAAATGGACATTCTCAGACTATTCGTATAAGAATCGTATTAAAATAAATTTCTGATCATAATCGTCGACTATTTTACAAAGTGGATAGAGGTCAAAGCCTTTGTCAAGATCACATCACACAATATTCTTCGTTTCTACAAACGAAACATGCTTGCCCGACTCAACATACTACAAGCGTTCGTCACCAACAATGCGACGCAGTTCACCGACCAGAGCTTTCTAGAGTTCATCGTCAAACTCGACATCAAACACCAATTCACGTCTGTCGAACACCTTTAAACGAACGAGCAAACTGAAGCTGCAAATAGAATCATCTTACGAGGACTTAAACGGAGGTTGAGCGAAGCCAAAAAGGAATGGGTCAAAAAGCTGTATTTTACACAGTGTATTTTCTTTTTTGTCAACTAATTAATAAAAATTAAAAACATATTGAAGGAATTGAAATGATGCATTGGATAGCTCAAACACGGTTTTCTCGGGTTAGGTGGGTTTGACCATTGGTTACCAAAAACCGAAGCCATCCTTGGAAATAGCCCACTCAGCCCAACTCACACTCTTCTAACGCTTCTCTCTTTTTTTTTTCCTTCTTTTTTTCATTTTGATTCTACTTTCACACACACAAAGAACAACAGTAACACAAACGTCATTAGTACAAATGTCTCTCACCATCACTGCCACTTAACATTTGTTTCTTCTATCTCTCTCTTAAATAACCCCTCTCCCCAAAATGCATCCACATTTCCATTTCAATCTTTGAAAAATCACCCCAACAACAACAACAACACCTTTCAGTCTTTGTTTTTAATGGAGACCCCCAAAGATGAACTTCAAGTAGTGGACCATTTGACCACACCACCAACAACAACTGGGACCAGTTTCTCTCAGTTACTATTAGCAGATGACGATGTTGTTGTTGATTGTGAAAATCAGAATCATAACCCTAACCCATTGGTGGGTCTTCATCATGTGGACCAAACCTTTTCAACTTCTTCTCTTTTCTCTCTTCACAACACACCCAAAATGCTTTGTTTTGGTGGTAACTACCAAAATGAAATTGATATAACTCCTCAGAAATCTGTCATCACTTCCAGTGATTCTTCTTCTGCTTCTGCTTCTTCATGCAACCACACCAACAACTCTGGTTTCAATAATGTCAATAATGTCTGTGTTTGTTTATTTAACAATTATGTTGCTTTTGATTGTTTTTTTTTTTGTTTTTTTTTTTAATTTTAAATTTTTTTTTAAATTCTCTCTAATATATATTTTTTTTGTTTATTAAAGAATTTGCAGAAAAAGCGGAATGGGTCAGGAGGACAACAACAAGGGACCAGGGCAGGTGTTGGAGAGCAGAAAGGTCCTAAGAAGACCAAAGCAGACAACCCCACTTCAACTGGACATGCAAAGGTAACCAAGAAAAAACCAACTATGAAACATTGCATGTCACTCTCTTGAACAATAACCTGTTATTTTCTATGATAAAAAATTGTAACATGATTTCTTTTTTCGATTTTATTTTGTAGAAAAAAGAGAAACTTGGTGAACGAATTGCAGCGTTACAACAACTTGTTTCTCCCTTTGGCAAGGTATGAAATTTTCAGTGTTATTAAATTAAAATTTGGGAATTTGTAAATTGAAAATTGAAAATTGAAAAACTGAAAAATGCATGTGTAGACTGATACTGCTTCGGTGCTTCACGAGGCAACTGGTTACATAAGATTCTTACATGATCAAGTTCAGGTTCTGTGCTCTCCATACCTCCAACCTTCACAAATTCAATTTCAAAATGTAAGTGTCATCATAAAATATCTAATACTATTCCAACCATTTATTTATTTATGTTTTGAAATTGATCAAATTTGTCACGTAGATTTTAGTTCGAGTAGATAGAAAAAAACATAAAAAACAACTAGTTGAAGTTGGGGTGGGGTCCAGTTGATGGGGACAATACTGAGAATAGCTATACTGATTATATATGTTCACATTGAGCAAAGTCATGTTGTGACAGATTTTCCATTTAAGGTAAACTCTTGATGACATAAGATTCTTGATTGTGTGTGTACGCGTTATTTCAGGGGGACGGAGATAACAATGAAAGAGGAGAAGAAAACACACAAGTGAACAAAGACTTAACTAGCAGAGGTTTATGTTTGATCCCTGTTGGGTGCACCTTACACGTGGCAGGTAGTAACGGTGCTGATTTTTGGTCACCGGTAACAATAGACAACAATCTTGTTTCACCTTCAACTACTATTCCTAAGCAGTAGGAGTAATGAAAATTAATTAATGGAGTTATAAAAAAAGTTGCATCTTTTGAGAAATGGGGTTTTATGTCTGCTCAAAATGGAGATGTACTCAATATGATGGTGACAGGTTATTTGGAGATGGAAAAGAAGGATGACAAGGTAAACTTTTGGAAAAGGGAAAGAGGGATTAACAATTAACAAGATTAGATTAAAGTTTACACATGGGGTACAGATGATATGTCATGATTTTGTCCTTAATTATGTAACTTCTGTTTTTAGGGGGTCACTTTGTTTTCTATAGGAACAAGGAAATATTTTATGTAGGATTTTGATGTGTGTGGCCTTGGACTAGGACTTTAGGATGCCCATATATTTTATAATATATATTTTGTCTAATGTAAATTTTGGTAGACAATACATCAAGTTCATTCCAAAACGTTCTCAATTTTTTTGCAACAACTAGCAATATAATAATATGAAGTCTTGAAAATGTTGAAAATTTCACTCCATGAATGCATCTTATTAAAATTTTAATCTTTAGGTTAGGTTTGGATTGATCGGAATTGGGAAGAATGAAATAGAATAATATTATGTTTTATTGTTTCGATTCGTAAAAAGAGGATAAAATGGGGCGAAATGATATAGAATGTAGTTCATCGTATTTCATTCAATCCTTTCATTTTCATTTGATTTGATTTGAGGTGTATATAATGAAATGAATTAATTTATTGTGTTTCGTCAAATTATTAAAAAAAAACACAATTATTAAAATGAAAATGAAATTTATGTTCCTTTTGTTAGAATTTGGAATCATTCTTTGGTGAATAATGGAGGATTTAGATGAGGAGAGTTAGAGATAAAGGGGAATTAGAGAGAGAGAATTGAGGGTGAAAATGTTCTATTACTTTTCATTAGTAATAACAATTATACTTCTAAGGTATATGTACAAGTGATTGGAATACAAAATATCAAGTTAAATAAGAGAAAAATCAAAAATTCAGACCTGTAATTGGTTACATAAAATCTATAATTGGTTATAGTTGTTAATAACAGAAAAATCAACTAACGGTGGTAATTCGTTAGTAAAAATGCGTAACTGGTTATATCAACTCTAAAAATATTTTTTTTCAGTTTATTTGACTTATTTTGGCACTCGTACCAGGCTACACACCCGTGTTAATCAGTTACAACACTTGAACTACTTAAAACTCTTAACACACCATCTTAATTCAAGAGCTCCAAGTCTTTCATGCCTATGTCCATCTTCAATTTTTTGAACGCATCATCTGTGACTCTCTTAGTCAGCAAATCAACCACTAGGTCTTCACTTCTACAATATCTCAATCTCAACTTTCTTTCACTAACAAGTTTCATAAGTAGTGAAACCTCATCTCAATATGCTTGGACCTTCGATGTGCAGTTCAGTTCTTAGCAAAAATTAATAGCGAAAATATTATCAACTAGGAGCGTTACAACATCACCCTCATCACTGCCCAACTCTTTCAATAGATTCATTAGCCATACGATTTGGGACACACACAACCAAGTGACAATATACTCATCCTCACAAGATGAAAGTGCTACTACTAGTTCCTTATTCGAACACCATGAGAAATGTGTTTCATCGAACATAAAGATGTATCAAACTGTAGACTTTCGATCATCTTAATCTCCATATCAATTGAAATCGATAAAATTGAGTAAATTGCATTTTTTGCCTGTATCTGCTTCGGGAAAGAGAATTCCGCAGCCAATATATCATTTGACGTATCTTAGAATCCTCTTGATTGCTGCCAAGTGAGACACCATCGGTCTCTCCATGAATATACGCATAGTATCGGCATTAAACGCCAAACCCGATCGCATATTGCACAAGTAGCACAAGAATCTAATCAACCTCCTATAATGAGTTGGATTCACCTCTTGCTCATCTTCACTCTTAGACAATTCTAACTTTGGTTCAACCGAAGTAATGGAAATACTAAAATGCCCTATTTTAAACTTCTTCAATATCTCAAGAGCATACATTCTTTAGTGCATGAGCAATCCCGTTTTGGACTCGTGGAACTCAATACCAAGAAAGTATGTCATAAGACCAAGATCGACCATCTCAAATTCTTTCATAAGTTAACTATTGAACTTAGAAATACACTTTTCATCGCTGTCTATGATCAACAAATCGTCTATGTATAGATAAAGGATGACCACCCCTTCACTTGTATCCGTCTTCACACATATGTTGTGTTTGGATACACATTTCTTGAAGCAAATATTCTTTAGGAAATTGTCTATCCTTTTGTTAGAAGCTCTTGGAGTTTGTTTCAAACCATATAATTTTTTTTTCAACTTGTAGAACCTTCCTTTTTGGTTTTTCATAACAAAAGCAGGGGGCTGCTTTACGTAAACTTCATCTTCAAGTGGCCCGTTAAAAAAATATAAATTTCACATCCATTTGATAAATAGACCAATGGTTGTTATTCACAATACCAACAACTAGCCTTATGATTTCAATTCTAGAAACCAGTAAAAATACCTCTTCAACATTTATGTCTTCACTTTGCAAAAATCCCATTGCAACTAATCGAGCCTTATGGTTAATTATTTCACCCTTAGGATTTTCCTTCACCTTATAGACTCATCTTACACCAATTAACTTCTTTCCTTCTGGTAGATCAACTAACTCCCAAGTGTTATTTTTCTCAATCAATTCCAGATCCTCCTTCATAACACAAATCAAATTTGGACCACTCAAGGTCTCTTTCGTCTTAACGGGTTTAGATTCGATCATAAGTGAAAAATGGAAGAAATTACCATCATTATTGAATTTGTTAACATGAAACATCTCACAATCTCAGAGAATTGTAGGCAAACCATTTTGCCTTGTTGATCTTATTACATTCTCATCAGTTCAGGCTTCGACATGCGGTGTTTTCGCTTCCCAATTCTGCAAAATCTAGAATTTCAAAGGTGTAACCAATTATAACTTTCTGGTAACCGGTTACAGACTGCTCATCACTAGTTACAAGTTATTGCAATGGCTTCAAATCAACAACCATAATGTCTTGGTTAATCACAATCCTTCTGTTTGTAGTATCATACATCTTATAACCTCAAGTTGAGTGATACACTACAAGTATCATAAACTCCCCCTTATCATCCAACTTCTTTTTAAGCTTCCCCAGAACATGTCGATACAATATGGAATCGAAAACTCTCAAGTGGTTTAGATTAATTTTGAATCCGGACCATGCCTCTTTCGATGTTATCTTATCAGGCTTCTTTGTTGGACACCTATTCAACAAATAGGCAGTTATGGATACCACTTTTCCCCATAATTCTTTCAACAAGTTCTTCCCTTTTAACATGTTTCTCACCACGTTCATAATCGATCAATTCTTCCTTTCAAGAACACCATTTTGCTACGGTGTATAGGATGGTACTACCTCATATACTACCCCCTCTTGTTCACAAAACTTCCTAAAGTCATTTGAAACATATTAGCCTCTACCATCTATTTTGAGAACTTTGCGCTTGTGATGACTTTATCACTTAACCATGGGCTTGAACTTCTTAAACACTTCAAATACATCATCCTTTATCTTGATTAGTTATGTTTATAACTTTCTATTATAATTGTTGATAAATGTGTCAAAATATCTATTGCCACCAAACAAATCAACTTGCACCAGTCCATGCACATCGAAATACACCACCTTAAGGTGATGCTTGATTCTACAACTTGCACCCTTGTTGAATTTACTCTTATGTTGCTTCACTTGCACAAATTCTTCACAAATTTCAGCCAGTATGTTGATGAATGGAAACCCCGTTACATTGCACCTTGATCTTGTAGCATTGCATCTTGCTCTTGTAGCATTGCATCTTGCTCTTGTAAAAATTTTCATTTTCACCTCTAAAGTTTCCTTGACCACCGTTCTTGTTGCAGTTGCTCTCACTCTTTTGACAAGTCGAATTCTTTGAATTTTGAGACTCTCTTCCACCAAAATTATGAAAATTCCCTTTATTATTCATGGGCCATTTTCCTTTTGACTTCTTTTTCTTCTCATTGAACCAGACTTGCAAAGATATCTTCGCCTTTGCCTTGTCATTATTTCTCTCCTATATCCTTTGCTCATAAGTCTCAAGAGAGATTTGAAGCTCCTCTTTTCTCATCGTCACAAGATTCTTTGATTCCTCAATCAACACTACAATATTGTCGAATCTTGCCGTCAAAGACAACAAGATCTTTGACACAACATTCTGTTCAGTAACAACTTCTCCACATGACTTTTAATTGGTTCACCAATCAATAAATTATCATCACATAATTGTTGATTGTCTCCTTTTAATCCATTTAACCTCACCACCTTCGCCTTGTCAGCCCATGCATATGTTAGAACAAGATTTGGATATGTGTTTAAATCTCTATGTTTTGATGATAATGTTAATTCTTTGTTTTTGTGATTGACATTAATTTTGGTAAAACAAACATGGTTGCAGCATGATGAACAAGATTTTTCAACTTGCAGTTTCAACATGTCGAATACGATGTCCTAACCATAAGAGTAGGACGTCTGGTATGTTATAGTTTTTATAGTTTGGATACAGTTGATTTAAATTATTGATATTCTATGAATATTAAGTAATCCTATGTGGCGTCCATGATGGAGGAATCAAATATTTTGTTTGACTGCGGCATGTTGATCAAGATGTTGAATAAGATGTCCTATCCAGAATCATTCGACATTGTGACTGTGTACAACTAGACATTAGGATTCTTTTAGTGTATTACAGATGTAGAATATTTTGGGAATATTATGATTTCCTATGTGGCGTTCAGTTTATGGATTAAAGAGATTCAAGCTTAATTCAAGGAGTATTCTTAGTTTCTAACTATGGAGATAATTTAGGAAACTAATGATTAAAGTCCTAATTTTATGCAGAAGTTTCTGCAGATTTTTAGCATTTGATTTGCTACATTTTTGAAGTCCAAACCATTCCAAAAGATTGCTTTAAATAGA